TATTTACTGGGGTTGTTCTATAGTGATTGACCAGATTTGAGACTAAGAAAGAAAGGTGTCAGCAGTCTAGATGAGTCTGGGTGTTTTAGGACCTGGTGTTGGAGATCTGGAGAGAAGTACAATTGTTTGGGGTGACATGGAAGTCTATAGAGGATATTGGATGGGTCTAAGATGAAACTGGTCACTGAATGGCCTGGGAGACTCTGTGGTTGATTAATTTCAGGAATGGCTCCAATGACTTCTTTCATTGTTTCATGTTACCTGACTGTTAGTTTTCTAAGTATTCACTATTTAATAACAGCACCATCCCTTCTGCCTCCTCTCCTTGACACAGAGATCTCACTGATTAGCACACAGAACAGCCCTACCAGTCACTTCTCTGTGCCCTAATCCCACCAGAGAACACATTGACCTCGAGATCCCTCCATTGGGTAGGAACTAGATGAGAGATCAGGTTCAATGATCAATCACACTCCACTCTCCATGCTCTCAGGTGCACAGATTAATCCAAGGAAGCAATGCCTTGTGACTAGAAACCTCTGACCTTTTGGTTAGCAGTGCATTATGCCAACACTGCTCCTAAACAGTTGTATGCTATTGTTTAATACCATTGAAGCAGGAGCAACCTGTAGTTGAGACTCCAACAGGCTTTTAGAGAGAGTAAATTGCAAGGGAAGAGACTGTCCATCTTTCTCCCACTGAGAGATTGTGGATTTGAACCACAAGTCTTTGGATGGAAGCACAACTCCTTACCACACTGAGCCACCAGAGAGGAGATAAAGGGAACAACCAGAGGAGAGAAAGCACACACACAATTTATCCTACATGGCAAACATCTTCTAGAAATTCATTAATATGCATCAACTCATTCAATCTTAAAAAAAAAACAACAAAAAAACACCCAACCTACAAAGGTAAGCCTTCTCATTTTACAGATGGAGAGGTTAAAGCTTAAAGAAGATGGTGTTGTTGCTGATTGCCATTGAGCTGAGCACTACTCATAGTGACCCTATGCACAAAGTGAATGAAGTCTTTCTATAATTATTGTCATTTCTCAAAGTGCATAGAGTTTCCAGAGGCATGTTGTTTAGGAAGTGGATGCCACGCCTGCTTCCAAACCTGTCTTAAACTGGGAGCTCCACAAAACACTGTCCACCATGGGTAACCATTATGGCATTTGATACCCCAATTGGCACAAGGTTCAGCATCACAGCAACCCGAGTTTATCTCAGTACAGCACACTGATAGAAGAGTGCTGTACCACTTAGAAGAATGTTCCTCCAAATTATAGTAACAACCGACTTTTAAATACAAAGGCCCTCCCCAAGGTCTTGTTGACTCTAAACAAGAGGCTTAAATAAAAAAACAACCAATATAGTACGTTGATATTGTTATGTGCTGTTGAGTAGTGGGCTTATGTACAGCAGCTCTGAACCCTTCCCTGTCCGTCCTGAGCCAGTCTCACTAATTCCGATACACCAGATATTTAAATATGCCAAGTGCTGTAGGCTAAAAACATATGGTTAATAAGACACAGATCCTCAGGGATCTAACTAGTACAGTGGAGAAGATACAAGCAAACCAGAAATTACAACATATTGTAAGACCTCAAAAAAAACACCAGTTCAGAGTGGTAAAGACTGAATTGAGAAGTATTTCTAGATGCAACTGTATCTTGTTTCATCTTCACAGAAGCTCAAGAAAAGAAGATAGATAGTTAGTTACTTGACATGGAAAGAGAATTGGAGAAAAGCACGGTCTTAAAAGCCAGAGGAGCTTTGTGCCCTAGTGGTGAAAAGCTGTGATGCAATCCTGAAGGCACACAGTTTCAAACTACCAGCTGCTCTGCCAGAGAAAGATGAGCAATCCCCTTCCCTGTGATTAACTATCTTTGAAAAACTGCTGGAGGGACAGCTATAGGTCGGTTCCGACTTGGCAGAAAAGAGTAAGTCACACAGCTAGTAGTTGGAATAAGAATCTAATCACTTGAATTCTAGTCTTGCAGTAATTAATTTATTTTTACTATATGGCCCAGACTTGGAAGTTAAAATACAGTGCTACCAATGCAACAGTAACTTGTTGCCAACAAGAACTCTGGGTGGAGTTGGAATCAACTCATAGTGGATGCTTTATTGGGTCTTCAGATCTTAGAGGCTGTGAATTGCAGAGGAGGAGATTGTCCATCACCTTCCTGCAGAGCAGCTGGTGGATTCAAACTGCTGCTTCTGGGCTTGCAGTGCAGCTCTCTACCAACGAGGCCACCTCAGTCACTCATTGCCATCAAGACTGAACCGACTCATCACTGACCCTCTCGCAGGTTTTCTGAGGCTGTAAATCTCAAGGAAGACTGCTCATCTTTCTCCCACAGAGCAGCTGGTGGATCTGAACTGGCTGCCTTTGGGTTGGGAGTGCAACTCCTTACCCATGAACATATCAGATCATCCTCTATCCATATAAGGAAGTTTTAACACGAGAAATCAACATTCATGGTATAAAATGCATCTGTCAGTTTTACCTTAAATGGTGATTAAAGATGGAGATAAAGACAGACCCCTTTTTGCAGCCTATTTTAAACTGAATGCTTGCTATGGACATTTCACACATACGAAGGACACAGAACACTATAATACAGTCCATGTACCCATTACTCAATTCCAACAATGATCAAATTGCCAACATTTTGCCAATCTCTTTAAATCTATATCCCTCCATTATTTGATCCATAAATATTTCAGTTGTGTCTTTAACAAAAAATTTAGGAAAAAAGGAAACCTCTGACAATATGTGTATACATAGCAAAATTAACAATAATGATGGCTGGACTCTATGAGGAGAAAGGATTGGTAGAAGATCTATCAATATTATGCAGATAACACAACCCTGCTTGCCAAAACTGAGGATGACCTGAGCGCTTGCTGCTGAGGGTCAGAGACTGCAGCCTTGTATATGGATTGAGGCTCAATGTCAAGAAGACAAAGATTCTCACCACTGGACCAATTGACAACATCAGGATGGATGGTGAAGAGATTGAGATTGTGCACAGCTTTAGTCTGCTTGGCTTCACAATCAACACTCTTGGCACCAGCAGCCAGGAAATTGAAAGACGTATTGCCATTGGAAAGCCTGCTGTTAGGGACCTCTCTAAAGTACTCAAGAGCAACGGTGTGTCTCTGGAGACTAAGGTGCGTCTCATATAGGCCATGGTCTTTGCAATCACTTGTTATGCATCACAGAGCTGGATAATGACCAGGGAGGATAGAAAGAGAATTCATCCTTTTGAGCCTTGGTGTTGGAGAAGAGTGATGAGGGGTACCATGGACTGCTAAGAAAACTAACAGATACATCCTGGAGAGGGTTAAACGGGGATGCTCCTTGGAGGCAAGGATTCTGAAGCTTCGTCTGACATACTTTGGACATGTTGTGAGGAGGGACCGGTCCTTGGAGAAGGACATCATGCTTGGGAGGGTGGAGGGCAGGCACAGGAGTGGAAGGCCCTCTGGGAGATGGATTGATTCGGTGACTGGGGCAATCAGGATGAGTGTGTCGGAGACAATGAGATTGGCATAGTTCAGAGCAGAGTTTAGAGCTATTGTACATAGGGTCGCTATGAGTCGCAAGTGACTCAACGGCACATAACAACAACAACAACCATTCAACACATTACAATTTCTCCAATTGTTTAAAAAAATTACTTTATCAGCTAATTTGTTCTAATGATTCAAACAAGAACCACTATGAGCATGAGGCTGATAGGGCTTTTTTTCAACCCTTAACAAGTCCTTTGCCACTTGCCATTGTCTTTCCTCATGTCATTCTTTTATTAAAGAAAACAGGGTCATTTACTGTAAAGTCTAGAACTGGCTACTGCTTTCTGTGGTGTCACTAAACTGGTTTCTCTGAACCCCACTTTTCCCACAAACAGAGGACTACAGTTGGCAGTTTGAATCCACTCAGGAGGTCTGTAAGAAAAAAAGTTAGCAATTTGAACCTGTATAGCCAAAAATATAAATAAAAAATAATAATAATAAATAGCCATGAAGCATTTCTACTATGTCACATGAGTTTGCTATGTGTTGGACTAATTCAAAGAAGCTAAAGCTCAGAGCTTAGTGGAAAGGAATTGCACTGCCTTTGCAAAGATATGTAGTTCAAATTTACCAACTACTCCATGGGAGATAAATGGGCAGTCTCCTCCTGTGAAATTTACTCTCTAGAAACCCACTGGAGGGTAAGCTATGGATTGGTTCCAACTCAATAGTACACAGCAATGCTTAGAGAAGGCTAATAAGTTATCCAAAAAATGTAGAATTCAAACTTATGTCTATCTTGACTCTAAAGTTCATTGTCCTCTTTTTATATCAAGATAGACTAGGAAACAACTCAATCCCAGAGTGTCCATTAGAATGGGTTCACACGCCTTCACCAGTGTTTGCCCTCCACTGCCAAGTGCAAACGTTGACAACGTTTGAAGATACAGACTCAGCAGAGCTTATCAGGATTCCATTAGAAGGAAAGACAGCTACCATGATGGACTCCCAGACCTCAGTGAGTAATCTCACACAAGCATAATCTTACCCACAAGAGAAATGAGACAAAATAAAGCGATTTCCCCAGAGAAACAGCAGCCCTGCCTGCCATTCTGGCTTCCCCTGGAAACTGGCTCTTGATGCTTGTTATGCGGATGGAATTTCAAAATTACCTAGAGTCCAACAGGACACAGTGGCCAGAAGAGAGGTGCTGCTGTAGATGGCATGCATGTACATCAGGTGGACCATCAGCTCCACCAGCCACCACCAGCAGAGCAGGCGGCCCAGCCCCAGGCCCAGGACACGGAGGTTGGCCTTCAGGGAGCCCTGCTCTTTCTGCTGCATCTAAAACAGAAAGGAAACAAGTGATTAGGCTATGTATCAATTTTTACAACCTTTTCAGTAGTTCCTTAAATGACATTTTACTAAGTTTCCACACAATTATTGCCCTGTCCATGAAGAGTGGGTTAGTTGAGTTTGCCTTGGGAATACTCAGTGTTCTTATGGGGGGAAGTCACACTCAAGCTTGAAAATTCTGTCCCAGAGTCAAAGCAAGGTTGTGTCACAGTTAGCCTAGTACAGAGAACAATGCAGCAAACATGAGGCCTATACCCTCCATCCCAGGAGCAGGCCCTCAAAAAGACCTGGAGCATAGGTTTTCTGTTCCTCATTGCTTAGCAGACAGCCTTCTCTCTTCTTGTGCAGCTACATCCCTGAGATATGACAGTGAAGGGAGAAGTAAACAGATTTGGCTGCATTAGCCACCTGGTCACCAAGGCTGCTTTGACCTCAACTACACGGTCTATATGTTCCAGTATGACTCCACGCATGGCAAGTTCAATGGCACTGTCAAGGCTAAAAATGGGAAGCTTGACATCAATGCAAATGCCATCACTATCTTCAAGGAGTGAGATCCCAGCAAGTGGAGAGCTGCTGGTGCTGACAATGTAAAGTTTACTGATATCTTTACAACCTCAGAGAAGGCTGGGGCTCACTTGCTGTTTAGTAGTTATCTCTGCTTCTTCTGCCGAAGACCTAATATCTGCGATGAGCATGAGCCATGAGAAGTATGACAACTCTCTCCAGATAGTCAGCAATGCCTCTTGCACTAACAAATGTTTATCCCCCATGCAATTATTTTCACTCAGGAGTCTGTGGATGGTGCCTCTAGAAAGTTGTGGTGTAATGACCATGGGCTGCCTAGAACATCATCTCTGCATCTACTGGCATTGTCAAAGCCATAGGCACGGTTATCCCTGAACTGAATGGGAAACTTACTGGCATGGTTTTCTGAGTTCCCACCCCCAATGTGTTGGTAGTGGATCTGGCCTGCCCTACAAAGAAAGCTGTCAAATATGATGACATCAGGAAGGTAGTAAAGCAGGCATCAGAAGAGCCCATAAAGGGCATTCTAGCAAACATTTGAAGACCAGGTTGCTTTCTGTGACTTTAACAGTGACACCTACTTTTCCACCTTTTATTGCCCTGAATGACTCATTCCTGCCATGACAATTAACTTGGCTACAGTAACAGAGTGGCTGACCTGACGGTTCACCTGGCCTCTAAGAATCCCCTAGATCATCAGCCCTAGTAACAGCACTAGAAGAGACCTTTGGCTGCTGGGAAGTCATTGCCCAAACTCAATCACACACAGAGAGAGAGAGAGAGAGAGAGACAGAGAGAGACAGAGACAGAGAGAGACTCATATCCTTAACATAGCTTCCTACCAGTTCTTCTGCAAGCAAAGGGAGAGGGGCTTAGAGAGCCCACCTTGTTATGTACCATCAATAAAGTACACTGTATTCAAGAAGAAGAAAAAGAAGACACAGTATGAGAACAGCACCTGGTAGATTGTCTCTTGGAACACAGGATCAGCTGGAGCTCCCGGTGTTACCTTATCAGTCTTTCCCCATCACTTATTTAAGTTTGAATCTAGGAATAATACAGTCAAGTCCTGGCGGAAAAGTACTGGTTAGAGAAAAAGAGAATGAGCAAGCCAGCAAAGAGCAAAAGAAAATCAAATATGGGTGTGTGCTCTTGCATTAAATTATTTCTAGAGCAAAGAAGAACAAAAGCAATCAGGGATGTATATCTGGGATAAGTCACTTGTTTTGTAAGCAGTGCAGTAGAATAGATAATAACATGCACATTAGAACAAATAAAAATCCAATTCTATTGCACAGCACACAGCTTGGTGAGCCTGGGCAAGTTGTCTAACCTCTCTGCATCTCTGTTCCCTCACACATAACACTGTGATGATTAAATATAGCAACACATATTATAGTTTTGTCTGCAAGCCTGGCACATACAAATCAGTGGTTCTGTGGTGACTTAGTGGTAGTGAGCTGAACTGCCAACCTAAAGGCACACAGTTCAAATCCACCAACTGCTCCACAAAAAAAAGACAGGCTATCTCCTCCTGTGTAATATGCTGCCTTTGAAAACCCACTGGAGGGTCAGCTATGAGTCAGTGTGGACTTGACCGTACAACAACATCTGAAAGGAGGGAGTTCTGGTGGGGTGGTGAAGTCTATAAGGAGTTTCACTGGTAACTCAAAGGTGATTCCTCCCTGGTGGTTTGGATCCACCAAAAGCTTCTCAGGAAAAAGACAGGTGATCTCCTCTCATACAACTTACAGTCTCCAAAAACCCACTGGTGGGTCAGCATTGCATTAGTTCTGATTCAATAGCACCCTCAGTTTTTTATCTTACAGAGAGTCTCTGGGTAGGGCAATGGTTCATGCATTTGGCTGCTAACCAAAAGGTGGGCAGTTCAAGTCCATCCAAAAGTTCCTCTGAAGAAAGTCCTGAGCTCCACTTCGAGTACATCAGGCACAGAAAGCCCTGTGCTCTAATTTGACATCCATGAAGCTGTCACAAGTCAAAGTCAAGTTGATAGCAAACAACAGCTAGCAAGAATGTGCTTTCTTCATGCCTTTTTATGCCTAGTTTTCTCACATTCTAGACTACAAATCACATGGTAGAATTAAGAGATGCTTTCAAATCAAGCATAGTAGAGAGAGAAATGCTTTGCTTGTTTATGGGTATAAACTACCAAGATTGTGCTCTGTGTGTGCAGACAATGCAGAGGGAAGAGATCCTCCAAAGCGGGATCTGTTCACCTCAGTAGTAGTAATACTATGCTATGGTCTGTGGTTTAAAGAGGCCCAACATGGTTGAAATTTTGGATTCTAGAATACAGAAAAAGCACGCCATCGAAGTAGACATGAACCTCATTTTATCCTCACACCACTGTACAACACCAACTCAGAGAAAATAAAAGCATGTGTAAGTTTTCTGAATCTTATAACAAGATTTCAGTAGCCTGAAGGCTGCCCCGCACTGCAGAGGTGAAGTGAATGCATAAATGATGAGGTTGAGCCTGCAAACATTAGCTGGCGAGGGGAATGGCTTTGATTTTGCACTTGACAATTAGAGCTCAAGCCACTAAATAAGTAAAGAAGGGGCCATTCTCAAGAGGCAAGCTGGAGGATCTTCCCTAAGCTCCTACTTTCCTCCAACCACCAGTCCACAGTGGAAAGCGCTACAGACATGCCCTCCGCTGGGCCAGGAGAGCTGCACATCATGGGAGTTATTTTTAGGCCATTGTGAAGCATGTACACTCTATAAATTTCTTAAACTCCCCTTGGACTACAAGAAGCCAGACTAAGAACGTCTAGCCACAATCACCTCACAGCAAGAGCCTGAGTGAATGGTTTTCTCCTTTTTATCATTTGTTAACTAGCTATACCAAAGTAATGAAGATCTCTGGTTCATTCTTTAATGCAAATTAATAAAACCAATAGGAGTATCTTTTTCTCTTTAGTTTCCCTCAGCTCACCTCAGGAAAATATTCTTTCCAGTCATTGAAACCTGTGTAGTAAGGAAACAACTGTTTTGACAAGAACAGGTTCTGACAGGAGAGCTCCTTAGAAGGGGTTATCCTAGAAGGAAGACTGGGCCTATGGGGTTATACGCAGAATGGTATTAATCACGGCTAACTGCAGTTGCATCAAAACTCAAACTTTTTTCCATCAAGTCATTATCATGAAACAACTAAATACAAAAACAAAAATAGTATCCGCCCTATTCATCACGACCACCTATGTGCCAGAATCTAACTACGCTTCATAGGGTTTTCAATGGCTGATTTTCATGGAAATAGATCACCAGAACTTTCTTCCCAGGTGCCTGTGGATGGACTCAAACCACCAACCTCTCCATTAGCAGTCAAGCACATTAAAACATTTGCACTACAGTGAACCAATACAGATACCTTTCTGGATGTAACTGAAGACAGTTTTCATTTGGATCCCTACATCCCCAAGCACACTCTGAGAGACCAAATACTGCCTCTGACAGTCAACCTTTAAGCTGATGTATCACAAGAACCCCCAGTGCTGACATATCTATCTACCAGGACATTGGGTATGGTGTTATATAATTGAGAGGGGGGAAAGGTAAAGGAAATAATTCAAATGTCCAACATTAGTCAAATGCATGAGTGCACTTCAGTACTGCATCAGAACTCACACTCAGTGCCACAAGTCCCGTTTATGAGGCTGCATATCACATGGAAGGAGGATGACTTTCTTTTTCCCTCAGAGACCATAGTGGATTCCAACCACCAGAGAGACAGAGGCACAGCCTTGTGGGTTAGCATTTCAACTCCCATCAGAACTCGCTATGAAGAGTGCTTTAGCTCACTGCATATAAAAGATGACAAGGCTGGAAAGACCCACACCCAAAAGACAACAGCCAGAATCTTTGGGTGGTAAGATTTCTACATTATTTTTGCACTGCAATCCCTGAGGTGCGTGGTTCGAATCCACCAGATGCTCTGCTGGAGAAGGAGAGACAATCTCCTCCTGTACCAGTCAGATCCAATTTGATGGTATGCACACACAAAATAATAAATTAAAATTTTACAAAAAGATTTCTACATTATTATCTTTAGAATGAAAATTTATTTCTTTTCTAATCAGAGGAAAAATAATGTAACTTGAGAATACCACAAAGATGTTCACATCTCTGCTTGTGAGATGATGTAAATCATGTATTTGAGTATGTATTCAAATCTATTTTTGTCCTCTGCTTCTCAAAATGCCCAACACTTGGGCATTCTAGACTCTTCTATGAGCAAATGCTGTTCTCTTTTTTTTTTTTTTCATGGGCCTAACCTCATTTGTTCCTCTCTTCTCACCTCATTCTTTGATTTTTCCTTATCTAGTACTGTAAGTACAAGTATCCGGGGAGCACACTATGCTTAACTACTAACTAGAATCTATACCTGGACCAGGAGGCTATTGTGTGAAGACAGCAGGGGAGCACTGCATGGTTCAGAA